GTCTATTGAGAGCCCGTCCTCTCTAACTCCCCACGTGGCTCCCGTGGTCTAGTGAGAGGCCATCCTCTCTAGCTCTCCACGCAGCTCCCGTGGTCTAGTAAGAGGTCATCCTCTCTAACTCCCCATGCGACTCCTGTGGTCTAGTGAGAGTCCGTCCTCTAACTCCCCACGTGGCTCCTGTGGTCTAGTGAGAGGCCGTCCTCTCTAGCTCACCACATGAGCACTTGTGTACGACTTGTGGTGCGTGTCCGTGGCTACCCTGTGGCTCCGCACCGCTCTGTGCAGGCTGTGAGATGGAGGATGCACTGTGCGTTTCCACCAAGCGCTTGGCAGGACACGTGCCTGCAGGGGTGGCTGGCCCGGGTGTCGGCGCTCTTAGGGAGAGAGAGATGGCCACAGCTACAGAAGGGGGGGGTCCTTGCATTCTGCACGCCCCGCCATGCTGGGTCTCGAAGTCGCCGCTTTCCTCCCGGGGCGTGTTAGGAGGTCGTGCGGTGCCCATGCCGACCAGGAACCTGCCAACGGCCGTCGTGGCCCTGCCTGGGAACACAGCCTGCTTGGAGCACAGCAGCTGGGAGGGCCACCATGAACGTCGAAAGCCTGCCCCGCTTGCTTTCAGTTTAAGTCAGACCACAGCAGGTGTGGGCAGGAGATGGGGCACCTGTCCCCAGGTCACTCTCACGGGAGGGCATGCATAGTGAGAGACATCGGCCAGGGATATGGCTGAGGGACTCCCGGACACGGTCATCGGAGACAGACAGGCTCTCGCCCTGGGCACACTCTTCTTGGGGCAGGGAGCAGCTGTACTGTCCTCAGGGCAGGTTCTGGTCTGCGGACTGAGCAGTTCTGTAGGCTTGGAGCATCTGTGGGTCATGGACCCACGTTGTTCCTGGCACCCTCGGCCATACCGAGAGGGTAAGGAGAGGGGTCCCTGAGCATACCATGCAGGGTCATGTGGGACACCCCAGGGAGCACCCCTCCTGGGTGTCCAAATCCCTCCTGTCTGTCCCCTGGGCTCCCACCACCCCAGATAGCCCCTCTCCTCACCTGCACGTTCCCGGCCTCTCCCGCGGTTGCTCTCACCTGCCGGGCAGAGCCCCTGCCTCAGCACCTACCCCGTCTCTCCTCTCCCCAGTGTCGTCCTGTGACCAAGAACACCAGTCGGCGCTCGAGGAGGCCAAGCAGCCCAGGAACGGCAACGTGGTGATCCCCGAGTGTGCGCACGGTGGCCTCTACAAGCCGGTGCAGTGCCACCCGTCCACCGGCTACTGCTGGTGCGTGCTGGTGGACACGGGCCGCCCGATCCCCGGCACCTCCACCAGGTGAGCGCATCACTGTGGAGCAAGGCCCGAAGCTCAGGCGGGAGGCCGCGGCATGTGAGTGTACCCGGGTCCTCTGGCAGGCTGCCTGGCAGAGCAGAGAATGGCCCCTGATTGTCCCTGCCCTGCCGGCCTGGGTCCCAGGCCACTCGCTCCCCTCACGGTTTGCGCAGGCAGATGTTAGAACCACCACAGTGCCACATGCCGTGGGGCACCTGGGTCACGTCACGCTCGAGGAGCCGTCCTCTGGTCCCAGTTCTGGCCCGGGAGCTCGGCCTGGAGGAGGAGGAGGTGAGCGCCCATGGTCCCTGGATGGGGCAGATGACCCTGCCAGGAAGGATCACTTTGAAGAGTCGGATGTCTGAAGGCAAGGGCCTGGAAGTCACCCACCGGGCGACACAGAAACAGCGATGCCTGGGATTCGGGCAGCTGGACAAGCGGGTGAGCCCACGTAGCACCCACAGATAGGAGCCACGTGTCCACAGCGGAGCGGGAGTGTGCAGGCTGCCTTTGCAGCTCTGCTCATTGGCTTGCCGGTCTCCGGATTCAGCGTTCCGACGTGGCGTCTCAGACTGACAGAAGTAGCCCTGATTTCAGCTCCAGGGTCTGGCCCAACTTTCCCAGCCAAACCGCTGTGCGCCCACCCACCAGGGGCACAGTGGCGCGGGCTCCGGGCAATCCACCGAGGCCCTCACCCTCTCCAGTCCAGCCCACCCGCTGACAGGCCACGTGAAGACGCCAGCTTCAGTGGGAACCCTGGACAGGGCAGTGCTGGAGCACTAGAGTCTGCGTAGCCCGCTGGTGAGCGGACGGGGTGCTTGCTGTCCTCACTTGGCAGAGACCCGGGTCTCTCTCACGCCTGGGCACTGGGGCCAGCATGTGGGCTCGGCCCTGCAGGCTGCTGTAGGGAGCGAGCGTGCCCGCCCGGGGTCTCTGCTGAGTGAGGACAGCAAGCAGCGTCTCTCCAGCTTCGAGAACAGACGTCTCCCAAGGTTTGGGCCTGAGAGTTTTGTGCCTGGGTCTCTATGTGTGCAGGAGGGCTGTTTTCTAAGGCACCCTCTGGAAGCACGATGTCTGTGCATTCCGGAGCGTGGGCTCGGCCACCATCCTCGGCTGGGGATTGGTTCCTGGGGGCTCGCACCCACCGCAGCCCAGACTGGGCTGCCAGTGACAGAGGAGGGGCTGTCCTGATGTCCCAGCGCAAAGCCTGGGGCTGCCAGGACCAGAAGTCCTTCCCACCGTCACCGAAGACCCTGACCGGTTTCCTGCCATGAGCAACTGGAACGTAACACCGCCGTGTCACACACTCGTCCCCCCCGGGCTTTATCCAGATTTCTTACCCAAAGGAGAAGCAGCCGGGTCTTGTTTCCCGATTTCACCTGCAGGAGGGGGACGCCCTCCTCGCTGGGATTCAGGAGAGGCGATAGGCCAGGTGGTGGGGGCGGCCGCTGGGACACCTGCAGGCTTGTCTTCGCCCTCGCTCCTTCGCGGGCCCAGCACGGGCTGCCAGTCACCCTGTCCAGATGCCGTCCGGGACTGAGGCGGGACCTGGAGGAGGACATGAGGGACTCGCAGTCACCTGGGGTGGGGGCAGCTGCAGTGTCTCCGGCGGGTGGTGTCCCCGCACTCAGCTATTCCCGAATTCCCATCCGCAGTGTAGACGGCCCAGCCTGGGGCCTCCAGAGGACACCTCCATGCTGGCCGCAGCCGTCTCTGCTTGCTTGGGGTCTTTGCTGACGACTTGCGCAGCGGCTGCGGAGTCACAGTCCTGCAAGCGTCCCGTGCAGCCGTGGCCACGTGTGTGGGAGAGGACAGCTCCTCCCCTGGCTCCAGGTCCTTCCCGCTGTCATGCACACATGCTCTTCACACACACACACACTCCTCACGCACACACACTCCTCACGCACACACTCTTACTCACACGCACACACTCTTACTCACACGCACTCATACCCCTCACACACACGCTCCTCACGCACACGCTCTTCACTCACACGCACTCATACCCCTCACGCACAAACGCCCCTCACGCACACTCTTCACTCACACGCACTCATAATCCCTCATGCACACACGCTCCTCACACACACACAACACGCTCCTCACGCACGTGCATAGTCCTCAAACACACATGTTCCTCACACATGTTCCTCATGCACACACGCTCTGCACTCCCGCCCTCCCGCACACAGAGCTGCCTCAGGGTCCCCGTGCAGACGCTTAAGCTCCTGAGACCCATAGCCGTGACGTGCTGGCCTCTGGGTGGGTGACAGGCCAGAGTTAGGTCAAGCCGTTGACAGGGGACTGAGGCCAGCAAGCACTGGTCTGCAGGGCACATGGGAGGTGGGACCCTCCAACACTGCTTCCCCTCTCTGCCCGTAGGTACCAGCAGCCGAAGTGCGACCACACGGCCAGGGCCCACCCTCCCAAGGCCAGGGACCTGTACAGGAGCCGCCCGCTGCAAGGTGAGTGGGATGCGCTTCGCTGGCACCTGGCCTGGGCCGGCCTGGGTCCGGCTGGGAGATGGCCCTCCCGCTCAGCATGTGCACACTGTCCCGGAGCCGCCCTCATCCTGTGGACCTGGGTTCCCACAGACCCAGGCCGGGGCGGGGTCCCGTGGGGCTGGTGACAACAGAGAAGCCACCAGGTGCCAAGTGAAGCCGCTCAGAGAAGGAGCAGTGTCTCTGGGTTAGCGGGTTGTCACGGTGGGACGTGCGGCCAGGGGCTCTTGTCCGCTCTGCGGAGAGAGCAGGATTCCAGTGTCACCTCCGGCCAGTGTCACCTCCGGCAATGCTTCGGCCTGCATCAGCTGGGTTTAGGTTCTTTAAAACAGGAGCTCGACCTACGTATCAGCTGAGCTTGACTGCTGAGCACTGCTTAAAACGCACAGAGGCAGGAAGTTTCAGCGTTTAACAATGCAACAACGTAGTCATCGGGGCCAGCAGTGGCACAGTGGGTAAGGGGCTGGACTCCCCCACGGCCAGCTGAGGTTTGCGTCCCGGACTTGGCAGTTTGAAGTCACATGGAGCACGCGTGTGCCTGCCCAGAATCCCAGGAGGGGAGTGGAGAAGGGATTGTGCAGCAGCCCTTCCCTCGGGGCCATTTCTCACTTCCCTCTCACTCGCTGCCTCCCTCTGTTCTCCAGCGAGTACACATGCTCTGTGGCAAAGCCTTTCAAAAGGTACGTGCAGGGGGAACCAGCAGTTAGCGTAATGGCTATGTCGCTAGACTCCCACGTAGTCAACCGCGGTTCGCATCCCGGACCCGGTGGCTTAAAACTCACGCCAGGCGTGTGTGCATGCATGCCCAAGATCCCGAGAGGAGAATGGAGGAGAAGGGATTGCACCGTGACCATCCCCCCTGGGGGGTGATTTCTCGCTTTCTGTCTCTCTGTCTCTCTGTCTGTCTGGTGAGCGCACGCGCCCTATAGCGAAAATCTCTCCAAAAAAAAAAAAAAAGTACATGCAGGAAAGATGCTCTGAGAACATTCCCCCTCAAAACCACAAGTTCACGACGTCCCCGGTTAAGGCTGGAGCCTTCCTGGGACCTGTCTCCCAGGGATGTGGGATGAAAAGCAGCTGCATCCTTGTCTTATGAGCGCGGCCACCCACCGTGGGCCCGGCAGGTTCCAGCAGCACAGGTGGCAGGTCACCCTGAGAGTGAGACACCCAGAGGCAGAGCCCTGTCCCCGTGGGGCGGATGCGAAGCCATTGCTTCAATGCCTCGAGGCTCCAGTTTCCTTCGTTGTAATCCCCTTGCTCCTTAAACATCTGCAGACCACGTCCATTCAGCCGAGGCGCAGAGACCGGGGGCGTGGCTCCAGTGGGCTTAGCGGGAGGCAGTCGGACCCTTCTCGGGGACAGCTGAGTCCCCGCCTTACTGGTGCTCTCAATAGAGGGTGCCGTATTTCCAAGCCTAAGGGTATTTGTCTACTGGAAAGAAAAATACCTGCCTCATTTGGTCCTTTATCCAGGAGTTTCCATACTCACTCGGCAACACTTGGAATAAAATGGCTTCTTTAGGCAGAGGCGGTAAAGGGCTGGCGGCTCCCTCATCCCGGCTCCGTTTTCCTCTCCGGGTTTCAGTTCCCAGTGTGATTTTTGGCCGCAGCCGTGGCCGCGGCTTCCGCAGCCCTCACCACCACGCCCCCGCTGTCCCCGACACACCGAAGGGCCCAAGGATCTGTGCTCTCGGCTCGTGGGAAGCGCACTTCTCTGCCAAGCCGCGTGGAGGTTCTGCACAACGCACGACACTGGGCTACTCAGCGCGGCTGCGCCCACCCGGGAGGCCAGGGCCGCGGTGGAGTCTGTCTTCTCCTGGGGCTGAGCCTGGGGGAAGGCCTCCCCGGGGCGGGGCCGGTGCGTGAAACGCCACACCAGGCTCTCGACTTAGCTACCGATGGCCATTTATCTGAGGGACAACTGGCCGTAACAGCAGGGACCTGGAAATACTGTCCTTGTCCGCTTGTCCGAGTCACACCTGACCTATGGGGAGGGCAGGGTGGGGACCCGATCAGGGACAAAGCTGTTGTTTCCCGGACTGGCCCTTAAATGAAACGCGGCCTCCAGGGGCCACGCCGTCCGTGCCCTGGGAAGGTCAGCGCACTCTGCCGCTGTGGACGCGGGGATGTCCTGCTCGCCACCTCACACGGGCTATTTGGGGGTCATTATCCTTATTAGAAGAACACAGGGAGATCTCAGAATAACTCCAGGGTAGAGGCAGGCCTCTAGGGAGGAGAAATCTGTTCCCAAAATAACGTGGCGGCAGCCGGGGGCCAGCGGCACTCCTACCACATGGAGGCTGACGTGCTTCCTTCAGAGGTGGTTTTGGGCGACCAGCAGGTGTATAGGGGTTACGTTGTCAGACTTCCACGTAATCGCCTGTGGTTCGAGTCCCGGACGTGGCAGCTTAAAACGTACATGGAGCACGTGTGCACGCACGCCTGCCTGAGATCCTGGGAGGAGAATGGAAGGCGTTACGGCATGGCCATTCCCAGGCTTCCTGTCTCTTCAGGGAGCATGTGCACCCTCTTGCATAAATCTCTCTCATAAAGAGTTGCCCCTCTAAGTTCTGACCCGTAGGGGCCCTTCATTTTCCATGTCATGCCCCCAGCTCACTTATTTGGAGGGTTCTTAGTGGCTGAGCACTCTCTCGATGTAGGTGGGCTGTTGGCGGACCCTTTGATTCCCGTCCATGTGGGCCACTGGAGTGCCCTCGGGCTCCCGGCTCCTGGCTCCCACAGGCAGTTGGCATGCCCTCCGGCTCCCGTCCATGTGGGCCGCTGGCGTGCCCTCCAGCTCCCGGCTCCCGCGGGCAGCTGGCGTGCCCTCTGGCTCCCATCCATGTGGGTCACTGGCATGCCCTTCGGCTCCCATCCATTTGGGCCGCTGGTGTGCCCTTGGGCTCCCGGTTCCCGTCCATGTGGGCCGCTGGCGTGCCCTCCGGCTCCCGGCTCCCGCGGGCAGCTGGCGGTAAGTGAAGCCATGGCCTTGGAGGCGGTGTTCCCCACATGGAGTTGGAGCACAGGACTCTTGCTCTGCAGGTTTCCCTGAGGACTGTCATATCGTGGGAGACAGAAGCCTAGCGAGGATGAACTTGTGAACGGCCGCCCTCGGCCACACTCCCCCTGTGCCTCTTCGCCACCTCCCTGCGGGCGTCTGCTGTCCCCACCTGCCCTGCATTTATCAGGGCAGACCGCCCTGTCCTCCCGCCTCCCCCTCTCTTCTCTTGTCCTCCTTGTGGCTGGGGGACCCCTCGCCTTTGCATGACCTTGGTGGGGGCTCTGCGTGGCCCGTCGGAGCCCCGTGGGTGGCTGTCCACCACGCCTGTCTCACACGCTCTGCAGGGGAAGTCGTCTGGTAGACTGCCCGAGGTCGAGCTGCCTGTGGGAGCGTAATGGGGCTTCGGTGGAAGAGAGAGGGACACACACCGTGCTCTTGGTCCTGCCAGGGCCCAAGTTAGGGGAGGGGCTCGGGGCTTTCCGTCCCCCTGATTGGTGGGCCGGCGGCTTTTGCAGTCAGACTTGCAGACCCACAACGTGGCCCTCCATGCCCGGCAAGAGGTCATTGCTCGTCCTCACAGAGGGGCCATTCGCGGGGGACGAGGGCTGGAGGTTCGCACAGGCCGCGGTGGCCAGCAGCCCTGCCCGCCCTTCAGGGTGACAGGTCAGCCCTGGGGAGTCACTCGTACCGCCTGGCTCGCGGCTCCCTGTGGCTGCTGCGCTGTGCGGAAGGCTGTTTGTACCTAGGAGCAATTTCTGGGCTCGCTCTTACTCAGCTGCATCTCGAGTGGCAGGGATGGCGGTCCTCACTCACACCGGGCTCTTGCTTCACTTCCGTCTGTGCTGGCGGGCAGTCCTTGCTCCTGGTCGCTAATGAGGGCGTGTGCAGCCCCTGGCATCGCTGGCCCTGTACCTGTGTGGGCCGGGTGGGGTAGGAAGAGCCGGTACGCGCGCGCTGTAAGGTGTGCTGGCGTCCCTCTCCATCCCCGTCCCCTCCGCCGTGGGGGTGGACCCCTCACGTCCGCGGCCCTGCAGGGACAGTGGCGTGCTGCTGGCATGGAAAGAACTGTTCTCTGCCCAGGCCAGAGCCGTCCTGCCAGCCTCACCTTCTCGGTGTGCCATGCAGGTCTCGGGCCGCACTTACTCGGACAAACAGTCTCTCCCCACGCTGGCAAGGCCCTCTCTAGGCCGTCTGGAGCCCCAGAGCCCCTCTCTCCTCGGGGCCTCGGCGGTGCTGCTACAGCCCTGCTCTTTCATGCACACAGAAACCCTAAGGCCACCCGGTCTTTCAAGAACATCCTAGCACCATTCGAAGTTTTCAAAACTAAGGGTGATCCGAGGCAGCGGGAGACGAGCCTCCCCCCACCTGCCCCTCTCCTGGCGCACACCAGAGCCTTCCCAGGAGATAACTAGCGCTGGCCGAGCCTCCATGCTGGGTCTACCTGACCCTGAAGACCCTGGTATTAGCTCTGCTCCCCCTCGGCCCCGTGCGCTCACTCACAGCCTTCGAGGTCAGACGAAGACGACAGGAGGTGTCAATGGCACCCCGAGATGTCGGCTCCGCGATTTCCGCAGTCAGCCGCGACACCGGCTCACGTATAGTGGCCAGGCTGGGGAGCTGTGTCCCCACTGCAGCCTCTCCCCAACAACACAGGCCGCTGGCGAGCAGCCCACGCCGGGCCCTCGTCCCTTCCTCCTCTAGGGCTGGGGCGAGGGCCACCTGGCTACGTGTGTGACAGAGGGCTCGTAAAAGTCGCTTGCCTTCGAGAGCCGTGGGACGCCATTGCGCCCGACTGGGGTCCTTCCACAGGACGCCCACCGTAAGCCACAGGGCGAGCTGGGACGACGGAGGCTCTGACACCAGAGTCAGTCTCTCACCGTCTCCCAGATAGCGGGAGTGCGGCCTCCTGCCGTGCATGGTCACGCGGGCGTCAGGCAGCAGGGCTGGGGTGGAAAGTCACTTCT